AGTTTCTTGAGATAAACAAATTGGAGTTACATTTTTAAGTAAGTGTGGTAGCTAAGGTGAAAAGGGATGCACATTGAGATATACAGTTTTCTGAAAAAAGAAGTTTATAAATTCATCTGTCGAGATAAACTCCCTAGAACTATAACGTCGAGGTGATTAATGAGTTTGACTAGATAGTATCTGTTCAGTGCCCAGCAGCTGTCCTCAGAGGAAGCTCTCACAGAGAAAACAACATCCAAATCCAGATATCCTCTACCATATTTGAACTCATGGGAATCCAGTGTCAAACTGTCACTCTCTTATGTCCCAGAATTATGGCCAACTGCTCCAAGTTTTATGGGTTCTGAATCGTATTCAGTTTTGGATGCTTCCTCCAAAAGAAGAAATTCAAAATTTTGATTATAGCAGTAGGTACAAAAGCAAGTATTTATGTAAAATAAAAAAGTCATAACAAATTGCAAATTTTTTAAAAGCTGACAAATATCACAAACATTTCTTTCCATTTGCTTTTGGCTTCCCAGGATATTTCCTTCCTTATGCAAAAGGCGGAAATGAGAGTTAAGCAGGGAACACGATCCAATACAGAGGTTAATATCTGGGGTTGAGATTTGGAATAGGGACAGAGTACAGGTCCCATGTTAGGAAATCAAAGTTTCTGAGTGCTAACGCTATCTGGGCCAATCAAATCAGTTAGGCACTGAATAAGTGTTGACCTGAATGTTTCTGAATTCTCTAGGAAATTATTTTTTTTTGTAGGTTTTGCATACATGAAATACTCATTTCTAGATTACAGTGCTATGTTGTGATTGCTGCATGAGTAAGGTGCACATTTAAGGATCTTGGTACCCTAGTGGTTATTTTAATAAAAGTCAAGTCTGCACTGCTGTCAGCAGGCTGGGTGGCCATGTTTGAGTTTAACCATTCCTCCTTTCAGACATTCTACTTGTCCAGAAGAGAAGGGATGACTGTGAGGTGTTCTGTCTTGGCAAAGAATCATCACTTGAGTGTCCTTTCTAGAGAGTAGCTGTGTGATAGCATTTAAGTGCCTGCTAATGCATAAGATCAAAGAAAAAATCATCATTATAGAAAAAAGAAAAGCCTAATATTATAGTTTGGAAAATCCCATGTAAACCAGCTTTCTATATGACCTTAGCTAAAGCCAAGTGAATAAATTCCAAAACTCAATTTGTCTAACTTTGAAAGCCAATCAACTTTTTTAAGGGATTTTTTTTTTCTTCTTGTTTTGAAGAGTTAACCAGAAACAGAAAGTTTTAGCCAGAGCACAGACATTCCTTCATGACGTCAATAAATGCTTTGAAGTTGTATGATTTTTTATTGCCATGATTATCACATGACTCAAGGCTTTTTGACTATGCCCTTATGACATTTACAGTCTCATCTGCAATTTTGGCCACAGTACTATGCAATCCCTGTTACTTCTAGGCAACTGTCAATATTTCTCTGTCATTCATTCTGCTACTTCAAAGTCTTCTTACTTTTTGCTTCTCATATCACAATTCCACATTGCTCAAATCGTAATCCCTCCAGGTGAAGGAAAATCACATAACTATTTAGCTGTAACTCAGGGGTTAAGTATGTCCAGAAGTGATCTTACAGATATCCGTTCAATGAATCCTGATTCAATATTGTTTATAGATGGTCTTTTCTTTAAAATAACAAAGGCAGTTCCTGTGCAGGATATGCTATCAACCCAGATCATGCAGCCATCAAAGCAACTCCATTGCCTAACATTCAGTCTTCCCAAATGGCTAAACTAATAGTTTTGAATTGGGTATGCATTGTGGTAAAAGAAAAATTGTTAACATTTAACAGATTGTAGATATATATCAGTTTATGATTTTAGGATACCATGGAAGCAGAGGGCATTCAATTAGAAAAATGGCAAAGTGATCATGACATACTAAAAGCTATTAAATATCCAAGAAACATCAGTTATTTAAGTATAAGCCCATAGTCTAGAGATCACCTAGGAAGCCAAAGGCGATGACCTTGCCGATTTATCTGTTAAATTAAACAAGCAGCTTTTACTATTCCACCCTTAATAGGTGCCACTAAGTTGACATCTATTCCCATCAAGCTGTCAGAAGGACAATTGGCTCAATTTAGACAGAATATAATTGCCAAATGGTAATTCTACAACAAAATTAATTTGTCTTCATTTATTAACAAAATTAATTTGTCTTCATTTATTAGTTGTAATATAAGGAAAAAATTTTCCTTTTCCAATTAATTTACTTACCATATTTTTATGCAAATAACACACACCCTCTATGTTTGTTTGCCAAGCATGCCCTCCCCCTGCGAGGTATTTTAGTAAGTGCCATCATGCCAATTCGCTGTAAAAAAAAAATTGGCATAACAGCACTTATGAAAATACCTCACAGGGTAGGGGTGCAGTTGATAAACAAACATAGAAGGCATGCGTTATTTGTGTAAAAATATGGTACTAATTTATGCTTTTATACCTGTGTCTTAGTTTCCTAGTGATGCTCTAACACAAATACTGCAAGTGGGTGACTTTAAAGAACAAAAATTTATTTTCTTACAACTCAGGAGGCTAGAAGTCCAAATTCAGCGTGTGGCTCTAGGGGGCAGTCCTTCTTTTTCTATTTCAATTTCTAGTAGCCAGCAATCTTTGGAATTCCTGAGTTTGTAGATTCATTTGCCTCCAGTGTTCGACATTGTTGTCAGATAGTGTCTGTCTTCCCTTTGTATGTGCTTGCTTCTATGTCTAACTAATCTGCTCTTTTTATAATTCAGAAATGATAAGGTTTAGGACACACCCTACACTGATATGGTCTCATTAAAATAACAAAGAAAACCCTTACTTCCTAATGTGATTATATCTACAGGTATAGGGATTAGGATTCTGGCTCATCTTTTGGGGGACACAATTTAATCCATAACAACCAGTATAGACTCAAGTATTGTTTTTATTCCATGGTTATTGTCATGGATTGAATTATGTCCCCCCAAAAATGTGTGCATCAATTTGGCTTGGCCATGATTCCCAGTATTGTGTGGTTGTCCTCCATTCTGTGATTCTAATTTTATGTTAAAGAGGATTAGGGTGGGATTGTATAACACTCTTACTAAGGTCACATCCCTTATCAAATGTAAAGGGAATTTCCCTAGGGTGTGGCCTGCACTACCTTTTATGTTACAAGAGATAAAAGGAAAGAGAAGCAAGCTGAGAATTGGGAACCTCATACCACCAAGAAAGCAGTGCCATGAGCAGAGCGCATCCTTTGGACCTGAGGTTCCTTTGCTGAGATGCTCCCAGACCAAGGAAAGACTGATGACAAGGACCTTCCACCACAGCTGAGAGTTCAAGCCTTCGCCTGGAGCTGATGCCCTGAATTTGGACTTATAACCTACTAGACTGTGAGAGAATAAATTTTTCTTTGTTGAAGCTATCCACTTGTGGTATTTTTGTTCTAGCAGCACTAGATGACTAAGACAGATTTTTTTTTACTATCATTACTTATTTTGATGTTCAGTTGGTTTCGTATTTGTCCAGTAGAAACCCTTCAGATCTGCTTCTATGGCCTTTTGACATGCTTCCATCATACTTTGAGCAGTATTTTACTTTCTAGAACTACAAGTGTTCCAATCTAGTCTTTTATTTTCCCTGCCCCAATAGTAGGGTAAACTATATTTACAAGGAGCCTGGTTTGTTTTAGTGGGGAATAGTCTTTAGAAACTAGTGTTAGAGCTTACAGTGTGCTCATTGCTATTGGGGTATCTTTGATTCTAGGCTCTTTGAGAAGACAAAGCTAAGATATATCTATCTATATGTATATATAATCTATCTGTAATATTGAATATAACATGGTCTGCCAGAAGAATAAACAAATCTGTCTTGAAAGAAGTATAGCCAGAATGCTCCTTAGAAACAAGGATGGTGAAACTTCATCTCACATACTTTGGACATGTTCTCAGGAGGGACCAGTCCCTGGAGAAGGACATTATACTAGAGTAGAGGGTCATCAAAAGAGAGGAAGATCCTCAATGAGATGGATTGATGCAGCGGCTGCAACAATGGGCTCAAGCATAACAACTATTGTGAGGGTGGTGCAGGACGAGGCAGTGTTTTGTTTTGTTGTACACAGGGTCGCTACGAGTCAGAACTGTCTTGATGGCATCTAACAACAACATATCTGTCTGTTTGTCTTTCTATTATCTATCTATCTATCTAATCTATCTATCCATCAATTCTGACTCATAGTAACTCTATAGGGGAGAGTATAACTGTCCCATAGGGTTTCCAGGACAGTAATCTTTATTATATATATTATTATTTATATGTATATACTTCTCTATCTTTCTACATGTATTTATCTGTATCAAAACCCATGAGTTTATACTGGCAACTTTCATTCCAATTCAGTACCAAAGGATTCATTCTAGCCTTCCCCTTTTCATATATGTAAAAGCCTTCCCCCAAAATGAGAATTCTAGCTTCTTCAATCCTCTCTATATTTAATCATTTGTTCAATCTTACAATATTTGGAAGCTAGTTTCAGAATTGCTAGCTTTTACTGCTATCAAAAACAAACTCTAACTAGAGTTAAATATTTGTTTACAGATTTTCTTTTTTTTTTTTTTTTTGGTTTTAGACTCAGAGTATATAGTCAAAGTACTATGTTCAAAAGTTACTCAGGTTAGTTCTAATTTTCCCCCTGAAGTGTGATTATGCTTTTTAAATTCTAAATATAGTTAGGTTATATTGTTTCTATTTATATTCTATTTTAGGTTTTAGTCTCATCTTTTAGAAATATTATTTTATTTCATTTTTTGAGTACATAAAACTTGAACATGGTTCATAAAGTCAAAACTATTTATAGATATATATACTCAGAGAAATCTCACTCCCTCTCCATAATCTCTCCACAATCTGCTCTCACTGATCCCCGGTAGGTAACCAGTCTCTTTAGTTTCTGGTTTATTCTCTCTGTATTTCTTTTTGAAAAGATTAGAAAAATATGAAACACTAAGAACGTGTATATAATTCTTGCACAAGGGTCATGATAATCTTTTCTGTATCATTTCAGTTTTAGCATGTGTGCTGACAAAACAAGAACTATTGGCTTATTTTATTATCTTGCAATAGCAGTGGATATAATAAAGTGCTGATTAGATTCTTAGAAGTGTATCACTGTTGGATTCCGAGATTGGTCCACTGGGCTGTATTCTTAGCTTTTTCAGTGTCTTACCTGTTTACACTGTTAGCATTAGCTATTATTTACATTTGAGGATGGTTTAAACAGACATGCCTGCACTGGAAGTTCTTTCCCTTCTTAGCCTTAATAAAGCTTGTTACTATGAATAGGCTGTTCAATTTGAACTGACATAAGTTTTTTACCTTTTCCTTCATATTCTTTTTTCTTTTTTTCTGACAATATTCTGCCACTTGTTTTAATTCATTGGTTACTTTCCAGTCCACTTACGTTCTCCTCTCTAATTGGCTATTGCTGTTTTTAGCACCTTAACAGAGCTGAAAGGAACTTACTTTAATCAGCTGTTCAGTCTGTGCCAGAAATTTCTTAAAGATTTTGATGAGTCTGTTTCTAATATTTCCCACTGATTTTCTATATGTATATATATATATATATATATATATTTTTAATTTCTGGAATTTGGTCCAAATTAGTTTGATAGAAGAGGCTCCTGAAATAACCTGAAGTAAGTGTTCTTCTATTTCTTTGTTTTCTTCAAACTTTCTTTTATTTCTAACATACATATTATGTATATTGGGTCCCAGCTAGTCCTTCTTGAACTATCTTTGATCTTCTAATGGGGAAACTAGACATGTATGTTGGTGAAGGCATAGCAAGCCTGAACAAAAAGGTGCTTATGATTGAAAGCTCAGAGGAGAAGTCTAGAGCGAGGACTTCCAGGCAGAGGGTTTCCTATTTTATTTTTATGAAAGGAGTCCCTGGGTGGTGCAAACAGTTGTGCTTGGCTGCTAACTGAAAGGCTAGAGGCTCAAGTCCATCCAAAGATGCCTTGGAAGAAAGTTCTGGTGATCTACTCTCAAAAAATCGGCCATTGAAAACCTTACTGAGCACAGTTCTGCTCTGACATACATAAGGTCACCGTGAGTCGGAATCAACTTATGAAAGGACAGAACAAGATCTGTCTTTGTTGAGTTTTAGCAACTATTGGCTGTAGGCAAAGATTCTAAAATGTTCCTGTCTCAATTCTGTGTGTATAGGCATGCATATTGTATGTTTGGGAGTCAGGGTATGTTTTGGAGAGAATGTGTCATAAAAACGCAGTACGGGAGTGTGCTGTCACATTGTGGGGATTGCAATCAATGTCACAAAACAATATGAGTATAAATGTTTGAATGAAAAATTAACATGAGCTGTAACGTTTCACCTAAAGCACAATAAAATATTAAAAAAAATTTTAAAAGGCAGTGTGATATAATGAAGTATTCTGATCATGTCCCCCATAATAATATATTTTTGCTTATATACGCTCATTAAATATATATTTAAGTTATATAATTTCTGTACTATACTAATATATTTTATAAGTCAAAACAAAACTAAAAAATAAAAATATATATGAATATAAATGGAAGTTTTAATATGTTTTTTTCCATACCAATAGATCATCTTGTATACTCCTTGGTTGCATGCACCACTGGAAACCATACTGGACTTAGAAAACCTGGGCTCTGATTTTGGATCTATAATTACTCACATATTAATTTAAGGAAACTTTTTTATTGTCTCTGTACTTTACTCTCCTCCTCTGTGGTGAGAAGTAAATGAAACGATATATGTAAAATTTCTAGTATATTATTTGATGTGAAATATTCTCAATAAGCTATAATAGAATCTGAATGGTATCTCATATTTGTCTTCTCAAGAGTCATTGTCAGAAAAGACATTTAGATATAAATGGTAATGAAGAGTGAGGACTTTCATTATAATTTATGGTGAGGGGAGCAAAAGTTTACCCAATGGAAAACAGTTGTCTGAAAATTTCAGTATACTCCCTTCTTAATCTGATTGCATTAATGTTTTGCCAGCAATTAGTTAAGTCCACATACTGTATTATTAAATTAAAAAAATTTAAAAAATTATTGCTTGCCATGGAACAGGTTCTTTGTAAGGTAATAGAGTGGTGGAAAATATAGCCAAGCAGCATATTATTTATTTAAGATTATGTGTGCTTTGTTTTTTATTGGCTTGATAGTCCTCAACTGAGTTTAATATTTAAATTATACAAACTTCTAGTAGCCTATAAAATAAGAACCATGAGTTTGATATGGTTTACAGGAAAAAGTACAGATTTTGGAGTTAATTATATAGGTTCAAATTCCCTCTCTATTATTTGTAAACGATTTAATTACAGGTGGTATTCCTGAACTTTACTTTTCTCGTCTGTAAAAGAATGATAATTATCTTCATCATGGGATTGCTGTGAGAATTAAATGATAATGTTCAGGAAACACTTGCACAGCTCTAGGCAAATAAAGTTATAGTCAACCAATACTACTTATCTCAAGAAAATATTTTAAAAGAACCTTGTTAACCATAAAAATAAGTACCTATCACCCCAGTTCTAGAAGAGTTGTCGTTTAATTCATGCTCCTGCCTTCAGATTAGAGCTAAATTCATATTAACGTGACCATATCTAATCCCCACCGTAACTGCTTCTGAGTTCTAATCCTATATTGAGTTTTAATCTTATGTTACCATTTCTCATACATCAGGTGAACCTTTATATTTTAGAAAATAATTGTTGATTTAAAAAAATTTTTTTTGAGGGCACATAAGATGACCATCAGGGATGACATAATTTACATAATTCCAAAGCAATGAGTGCTAGACTAAGTGTTCAGCTTTCTGCTTATGAGAGTGTCAGAAAGAAATCCAATGCTAGGTCTAAGGAAATAATGTATTTTTCAAAAATTGCAACTTAGAGCTGTTTCACAATACAAAATGAAAAAACCCAAGCTAGTTGCCTTCGAGTTGATTCTAACTCACGGTAACCTGATGTGTTTCAGAGTAGAACTGCACTCCATAAGGTTTTCATGGGTGCGACCTTTTGGAAGTAGATCACCAGGCTTTTTTTTCCAAGGCGCCTCTAAGTGGGTTTGAACCATCAACCTTTCAGTTGGTAGCTGAGTGCTTAACCGTTTGCGCCACCCGGGGACTTCTAAATGCCCTTTTAGGGTTATATTGTTTGTTTCAAAGGAATTATGGCTATAGGGTATGTTGTTGTGTATTAATTAGGAGTCTGCTTGATATCAGAAACCAACCTGAGGAAATTTACACACAAAGGGGAACTGTATTATAGGAATTCAAAGGTATTGCATTGTAGCAAAAGACGTGAAGGCTTCAAAGGGCTTGAACCAAGCAATGCTAAGTCATCAGGGTGCTCTCTGATTTGGTCTCTACTTCTTTCTATTCTTTGCCTGATTTTTTTCTCTCTACAAAATGTTTTCTTCTCCTATACAATCTATAGGATACACTGAAAATATCTACCATATAGTTTCTATATTTATATATTACACATTTAGCTAGATAAGAAACTAATTTATTTTCTCTCTACCATTTACATTTTTCTAGGGAAGAGAATTGGATTAAGTCTTCTTGGCTAATTATCCACCACTCAACTAGTCAACTATGAACACATGGAGAGGTTCAGACAGCAGCCACAACTCTGTCAGGTGCTTTCCCCTCTGAATTGGTTGTGGTGAGTTGGGTGTGGGGAAGAGAGCAAGTCTTAGAACAGCAATTCTCAAAGTGTGGTCTCGAGGCCTCTGGGATCCCTGAGACACTTTAAGGTGGTCTGTGATGTCAAAACTATATTTATGATGCTACTAAGATGTATGTTATTTGCCTCTTCCATTTTTTCTGTCTGGTTTATATAGGGGAGTTTACCCAAGATTTAATTCAGAAGTACATATGAGATTCCATCTGTCTTCTAGTAAGCCTGTCATTAAAGAGATTTTCAAAAATTCAAAACAATGCCCCTGTTCTCAGTAATTTTATTTTGTTTTGTTTTGGAAAATATAGTTACTTTTTACAAACATAAAAACCCTATATTAATGTAAACATATGTTAGGTTTATTATTGTTATTTTAAAATAAATTATTGAATAAATATTTTAATAATTTTTCAGTTTTAATTTCTACTATGCTAAATTTCTATTTTGATAGTTAGTACTCTCATAAACAAATGCTTTATGGGGCATCTGAGTTTGAGAACCACTGTCTTAGAAAAAGGGAGATGTGTTGGCTTATAGGTTGGGTATATTTCCCAAAAGGTTCCTTGCATAAGTTTGGATAAAAGAAAAATATTCTTTTCAACAATTTCCATTAACTTGAGAGAAAACTTGGCATGTAAACAAGCTCCTTCTTTCCTTTTATTCATTGTTCTTTACAAATTGTAGACATTTCTTATAGTTGTGTGTTCCAATTTTCTTTCTATACTTTAATTATACCAAAATTTATATTTCCAGTTTTCTGACAGAATAAAAATTAACCAGAATAAATCCAGAGGTAGCCACATTTCAGCAGCTTAAGAACCAAGCTTACTGCCGATGTACTTACTTTTTTTAACTGTTAAGGAAAACTAGTTCAGCAGGAACGCTTGCTTTCAGAAGCAAGTTTGGGGAGAGTTTAGTATAGGAAATGCTTGGCCTGCTGTTGCTTATAAAAATTCTCTTTAAAGTTTTCTGTTGACTTGCTGAGTAAACACAGCAGTTAGGGAAAAAGGGGATTCAGAGAGTGAACTTACTTGCTTCTAGTAATTCATATATTTCAAGGCCATAGATTACTTACTGGCTTTAAAAAAAATAAACTTATTGATAAGAACTGTTTAAAAATGGATTTTCGCCGCAACTCTTTTGAATTGTGTAGTACTGAGGGAGCCCTGGTGGCTCAGTGGTTAAGCGTTGGACTGCTAACCGAAAGGTCAGCAGTTCAAATCACCAGCCACTCCTTGGAAAGCCTACGGGGCAGTTCTACTGTATCCTATAGGGTTGCTATGAGTTGGAATCGACTCAAGGGCAATGAGTTTGGTTTTTTTTTTTTTATTTTTTTTATTTAGTACTAATG